CGTGTCTGAGTGCAGCTTGTACCAACAGTTTTTTACTGTGTGTGTGTTCAGCATGAGGGAAGAGGCGCCTTTAGCTTTTTAGCTAGCACGCCTGTATTTCGCGCCACTAGCTTAGCGCCATGTCAGCCCCGGGTGGGCAAGTTCGGTTTGGTAGGTGGGGTTCTCAGTTCTGTTAACAGGGTGGGGCACCCCGCTTGTATAATGGTAGAGGAAACACTGTTGTTCATATAAACAAATGTTTTGATGTTTACAAGTTTTTTTTAATTGGTTTTGTGGTTATACACTTATCCAGGTTGTGTAAACTTTAATTGTTGGGCCTGTCTTTATTTTGTCTGACACCAGGTACTTTTAACTGTAAAATTGTACATGTGGTTCGACAGTGTTATTAGCTGCTAACATGGTGTTTATGTTGGGCAAGTATAGATTTCAGTTCTGATACGTTTGCTTGTAATGTAAACACCAAACAGAAGTGAAACGGTAATCAGGGCTGCCAACTTTTACCCACTGAGCCGTTTGATTTGTGGGCTCTTCACACGAAGCTGTACCTGCTTGTCTCACCGAGATGAGAGCAGCGGGTGACCCACAGGTGAGCACGTCTGGAGATTCAGGTTTTATGTTGCAAGTGCTCAGGTACGTGGAATGAAAGACAAATGTGTCGTCAGTTCTGAGGCAGTGTGAGAACTGACGTCACATCACACGTTTGTCAGTTGGAGCAGGGACCTGCGGTACTCGTTCCTCTGTTTTATAAATACAGCACATAGATGACCATCGTGATCTGCTGAAGAATAAAGCGTGAGAAACAAAGAAATAAATTAAACAACACCAAAGGATCTTTGAATCATTTCTGCTTATTTTTTTATATATTTATGTTATAGGCTTATTGAGGAGAAATAGCTGAAAAGTTGGTGTTTGGACTAATGCAGGGCCTGCATCTTTCTGTTGTCTGTTGACAGTTTTTATCTGGCTGAGATCTCCATGGCTCTGGGTCATCTGCATCAGAAAGGCATCATTTATAGAGACCTGAAACCTGAGAACATCATGCTCAACAATAACGGTACAGAACAACGAAGTGTATTAAACAGTCCTGCAGCGTCATGCAGTCATCAAGTTCACAGCTGTGCTACGTGTGCTCACACCGGTCATTAAAACGTGTCTCTACAGGGAACCTGAATTACTGTAGTTTATCAACTCCCAGGTTCACACTTTCCATTTGTCAGAGATACAATTACTGCAGAGTTGTGTTACTTACGTTTCTATAAGCATATGAAAGACGTTAAAGAAACATTAATGTTTTATGATGGCAGCATAGAGGTACAGTTGATAAAGATGCTGCTTCTCAGCAAGAAGGTCGTCTGTTCGAATACCAGCCAGGGACCTTTCTGGGTGGAGTTTGCATGTTCTCTCCGTGCTGCGTGGGTTTTTTCTGGGTACACTGTTTTTTTTCCCACAGACCAAAAACATGCATGTTAGTCTGATTGGTAACTCTAAATTGTCCCTAGGTGAGTGAGTGAATGGTTGTTTGTCTGTATGTGTCCCTGTGATGGACTTGTCCTGTCCAGGGTGTCCCCCGCCTGTCGCTTAGTGACTGCTGGATATGGGTACCAGTGATCCCTGTGACCCAAAAAGAAAGAAGCGGGTAAAGATGGATGGGCGGCTGTGGCTGAGTGGTTAGAGCAGTCGTCCTCCAATGCAAGAGTTGGGGGTTCGAATCCACCAGCAGTCACATGCTGAAGTGTCCCTGGGCAAGACACTGAACCCCTCGTTGCCTCCAATGTGTCCCATCAGTGTATGAATGTGATAAAGCTCTGATTAGTCTCTTTAGAATGATTTGTTCAATTATCTTTGTAGAGATCTAGTATAGACCTGTATGAATGGGTAAATGAGGCACAGATTGTTGTAAAGAGCTTTGAGTGTCTTGATGAGATAGAAAGGCGCTGTATAAGTACCATACCATTTTATTTGTAGAGCACTTAAAACAGCTACAAGGCCAACCAAAGTGCTGTACAGACAGAACAACAGACAACACACGAAGCAATATACAAAATGAAGTAAATCAAGTACAATCCATTTACAATGGGTGGGTGGATGTTGCAGAGCTTGGTGCAACTTTTAAACACATCAGTGTTTCCCCTAGATAACTTGCCATGGCGGGACGCTCGTCTCGTCTGTGATTTTTGTCCGGGGGGGGGTGGATGGAGACTCGTCCCAAGCTGTGCAGCGCTCTGTTTAAACCAACAGTTTTAGACCAGGGTGTGTGAGAGGAGAGAGACGGAGACACATCTCAGCCGCACGCTGCCTGAACCGACAATTTTTTTTTCTTTTTGGCGGGGGGAGAGACGGATGCAAATCTGAGCCGTGCGCCGTTTGTACCGACAGTTTTCGAGTGGCGGGGGTGCGTTGAGCGTGAGGGTTCATTCAACATGAATGAAGAGGCTGCCTTTAGTTTTTTAGCTAGTGCGCCTGCATTGCGAGCCGCTAGTTTAGCGTTAGCGTTGCGTCAGTGCAGACAGGTGGTTGGGGGTGGGGGGCAGGGCGCCCCGCTTGCATAATGGTAGAGGAAACACTACATACATAAATGAGCCAGTTTAAGAAGTTTAACATTTGTTTTGGAGGTACAAAATATTCTGACATTTTAAAAATATAATTATTGAAAATATATTAAATTAACATATGAGCAGAATCATACCAGAGGTGGTTAGTTTGATTAGAGTCCTTCGTAATATATTTCCCTCTGTATTTGTGCTATTCACTGGTAATCCGATCATCCATCCTTTATCTTTACTTGCTTATTCCTTTTTGGATCACGGGGGTCAATGGTGCCCATGTCCAGCCATCACTGTGTGAGAGGCGGGGGACACCCTGGACAGGTCTTCAGTCCATCACAGAGACACATAGAGACAAACGAGACAACCATTCGCTCTCTCACACGTAGAGACAATTAATTACCAATCAGCCCGTTACCATCAGAACAAATACTTCTCATCTCAAATCTGTTTGTTGATGTTTGGGGTTTAGTTTCACCTAATTCAACCTCCTTTTACTTTCTAGGCCACGTGAAGCTGACAGACTTCGGTCTGTGCAAAGAGTCCATTCATGACGGGACTGTCACCCACACTTTCTGTGGCACCATTGAATACATGTACGGCACTCAATTATGACACAGATTTGTTAGATGGATTTAGACTAGCCAGTATCACGTGAATCTTTGGATACATGCAGCATTTCTTTACAGTGAATTGTGCCTGTTGTGTCACCTTGTCCTCCTCCTTCATCAGGGCTCCAGAGATCTTAATGAGGAGCGGACATAATCGAGCTGTGGACTGGTGGAGTCTGGGAGCACTCATGTATGACATGCTGACAGGAGCAGTAAGTACCCACTAATTTCTCTTTAGTCCGATCTATGATTTAAATCTTTGGGAAAAAAGCATTACATTAAGCACAACCTTTGTTTCTGACTCTCTCTTAGCCCCCATTTACTGGTGAAAACCGAAAGAAGACAATTGATAAAATCTTGAAATGCAAACTCAACCTTCCACCTTACCTCACACAAGAAGCCAGGAATCTCCTAAAAAAGGTGAGCTGTTTACAGTAACATTAGGGTAGAAACATGCTTGTTCATGCTTTCTGTGTCCATGTAGGCAAACTGTTTGTTTTTTGCACCCACTTCAGTGATTCCCCTACCATTAAACAAACGGGGCGCCCCGCTTCGTCAACAGAACCGAGCGCCCCGTCTACCGAACCGCACGCGCCCCATTCCCACTGACCTTTCGTCACTGACGTAATGCTAAGCTATCGGCTTGCAATACAGGTGTGCTAGCTAAAAAGCCAAAGGCAGCCTCTTCTCTCATGCTGACCCCCCCATTCGAAAGCTGTCGGTATAAATCACGCACAGCTCAGATGTGTCTCCCCCCCCGCGCTGTAAAACTGTATAAACAGCATGTGGCTCAGATTAGTCTCTCCCCATACACCCACCCATGAGCGCCCCGCCATGGGACGTTGCACCACAGCGCTCTGATCAAGGGTCTACAGTTTTTACCGCCATCGCTGACAATCATGTACTGAATTTAGCTGTATATTAGAAGGACAAGAAACATCAAGGAATTGCTTACTAATAATTTGACGTTGTTTTTGTGGTTCCTGAGTGATAAATTGTCCAAATGCTGACAGCGAGATGTTTCCTCAGTAGAGTATTTCCCCAAAACGTGGTTTTCTTCTTCTTGTTAACTGACCTGTAGTCCTTTTCTCTTGTATTTTTGGTGCCACTGTTTTAGATGTACGAGTTGTGTACTGCAGTAAGAACAGTCACACAGTCGCAAAAGTCTAGGCTGCACCTCCTTTTGGCATGCCTACAGAGGAGTCCCCTGCTCACATTTGGCTCTATCTGACCATCTTTCTCTGCTTCTCTTCCCTGCATATACTCGTCTCAGGAGAAAAATCATGCCAATTACAAAATATGTTAAAACCTGGCCAGAGGCTGTTCTCCTCCAGCTGCAGGACTGCTTTACAAACACATACTGGAGCATATTCGAACAGGACCTCCATGGTTTCACTGAGACCATTCTAACCTACATCCCATTCTGCACGTACAGGGTTGGGATCATCAAAAACATCCGGATTAATCCAGCCATTTCTGAAATCCCATAATACAGCCTTAAGGTCGAGTGACCAGGCCCAGTATATTGTGGTCAGAGCAGACCTGAGAAGAGGAATTAAAGATGCCATGGTAGCTTGCAAAACGACAGTGGAAGATCACCTCACTGACAAAACAAATCCACTTCAGATGTGGCAAGGCCTAAAACAGCTCGCTCATTACAACTCCTCTGTGGCAGTCAGTGTCAATGCCCCCCCGGCTGAGGAATACAATAATTTCTTTGCCCACTTGAGACAACCTCTCCTCATACAGCCACACTGCCCGGCATTCCACGAGCCCTCTCACCATCCAGGAACATCAAGTGAGGTCCGTGTTAAGGTCTGAAAACACGAGGAAAGCTCCAGGACCAGATGAAATACCTGCCAGCGTATTGAAAGCTTGTGCCTTTGAGCTCTCAGGGGGCTTTACTAAGATCTTCAATCCCTCCCTGGCACAGGCCTCTGTCCCACACTTTCTCAAGTCGACCACCATAATCCCTGTCCCTAAAAGCTCAACCGTCAACTGCCTCAACGACTACGGGCCCATCGCACTCACCAAGTGTTTTGTGAGACTGTTGGCACAGCACATCAAAGCCTGCCTCCCCTTTGCCTCTGATCGTCATCAGTATGCATACAGCACAAATATATCTACTGATGATGCCGTCTCTACTACCCTCCACACTGCTCGGACCCACTTAGAACTCCATCCTCAGTCTGGATGCTTTTGTCGACTTTAGTTTGGCTTTTAACGCTATTCTCCCTGACATCCTGGTGGACAAGCTGGCTGCACTAGACCTACCCCTCACCACTTGTGCCTGGATCAAGGACTTCCTTACAAACCGTCCTCAGTCTGTAAAGGCTCCCACAGACGCTCGCGTCCTGTCAGCCGTGTGGAAACTGGGCGCACTGTCCGCAGAGAGTTGAGACTTTATATTCAAGCATCCACCCTGAGCGGCTGCAGACCAGCTCTGCAGGCAAGGGGCGTTTACCTTCGGGACAGATTGAGTTCTCCGATTGGTCATTTGCTGACATGCCTACTAGATTGGTGCACACCGATCCTCCACCTTGACGCTTAGCACTGGCTCCCCCTAGGGTTGTGTGCTGAGCCCACTCCTATTTGCCATCTATACTCATGACTGCATTCCCTCTCATCCCACCAACACTATCATAAAATTTGCAGATGACACCACCCTGGTGGGACTTATGACTAGTGGAAACGAGTTGGCCTATAGGGACAAGGTGCAGCAGTTGGCAAAGTGATGCGCCAGAAACAAACTGTCACTCAACACAAGAAAAACCAAGGAGCTGGTCATGGATTACAGGAATAGCAAGGCTGTTCCTGCCCCACTCTACTACATAAATGGCAACAAAGTGGAGAGTCCCCCACTTCAAACTCTTGGGGACTTGTATCTCAGAGGACCTTTTCTGGTCAGTCAACACCACAGCAGTGGTTAAGAAGACCCAGCAGCGAATCCACTTCCTGACATTACGTAGACAGAACAACTTTGAGACCAACCTGCGGTATCTTCTATCGTTCGATCATAGAGAGCGTGCTGATGAATGCCATTACAGTGTGGTACGCTGGCTCCACCACCGCTGACAAGAAGAGGCTGCAGAGGGTGATCAGGACTGCTGAGAGAATAACTGGCTGTTCTCTCCCCTCCCATGACGATATTGCCAGCTCCCGCTATCTCTCCAGGATAAAGACTCCCAAGACCGCCTCCATTCTGGTCACCACCTACTCAGCCTGCTGCCCTCCAGCAGAAGATACAGGAGTATTACAATCTGCACACACATCAGACTCAAATGCAGCTTCTTCACATGGGTCATCCAGACTCTTAAATTAGGGATGCACAATAAATGACAATAAAGAAACTCTGACTCTGACAATATTGGATTTTTGGCCGATATCCGATATGTTAAAACTTATTCGGCCGTTAACCGATGCCAATACTGATATTTTATATATGTTCCTTTGTCAGAACATAGCCCTCGTATTTAGGCTTATTTGCTACAAAAATTGTGCAACAGCTGTAAGAGCTGGTGACATATATTTAGTAACAGCCATATGATACGTATAACACTTTAACTTATATTAAATGAAAAGTGTTAAATGTTATTTATTAGCATTAGTCACCTGCGATGCTGTCTCACGTGTGGAGGCTTGTTCCAGGTTCCTATAGCTGCAGTGTGGGATCCTCTGCACTCCTGTGCATGAAGGACAGACTTTTTAAGTTCAAAGTTTTTGTCTATCCATTGTGCTGTAAGACTAATCACGCTAACGGGGCTAACAGGACGTCCAAATGTCTGTGGTAAAACTCACCCAACAAGTCGTGCTATCGGCTGTTAGCTTCTCAATGACGTCGTAAATGACGGCTTGTAACTCTGATAACGTTACGTCTGCGGACGATGTATCGAGGCTCAACGTAGTCCATAAATCTTCAGAATCCGACATCCTCACCAACGAAAAATAAAGCTTCCAAACCGCCGACATTTTGAATTTTCCTCTCCGCCGTGAGGTTGGGTAGGCGCACATGATGTTTTAGCGTTGCGCTGCCGCTGCAATGTCATCACGTTGTGCTGCCGCTGCAACGTCATCACGTTGTGCTGCCGCTGCAACGTCATCACGTTGTTCTGCCGCTGAAGGCAAAAACAGCACCTTTTACATCGGCGAGTTATTTTAATGGAATGTCCGATATTGAAATTTAACGTCAATATCGGCCGATACCATTCCGATAATATCGTGCATCCCTACTCTGAATATCTGTTAAACTCCCTAAGTACAATTTTCCTCTAGTGCAGGGTGTTTGATCACTCACAAGATGTGCAATATATCCAGTCTGCTTCCACAACCTCATCTGTATTCTTCTGATATGTTGCGCTTTCAGGACCCATGTTTCTTGTGTATAATGGTCTTTAATGTCTGCACTGAATCATTGTCTTTATTTGTAGGGTGTCTTTTTTAATGAATACACTGTCAGATGAACATTGTTTAGGCTGGGCAATGACAATAAAGACCATTTTATTCTCTTCTCTTTGGTGAAGGGGCTTTTAGACTGTAGCTGGTCAGTAGCATAATAAAATTATTTACGTCTTATACAGAGTGGACACCACAGATGAATAATTGAGTTTCCAGCTTTATTCTCCACATTTTGCTTTACTCTGCTGAAAGGCTGACAACTATCCAAACTTTGTTTCCTTTCTTTTGCAGCTGCTGAAACGAAGTGCCTCATTACGACTCGGGGCTGGACCAGGAGACGCTGCCGAGGTCCAGGTAAACACTCATTGAAGACAAAACAATGCATTCTAGTTGTGAGCATGGTTGTTTGCAACGTGTCTTTGTGAAGCATGAAAATCATTCTGCGATGCTTTCTTTCAGGCCGAACCATTCTTTCGATATATAAACTGGGACGACCTCCTCGCTCGGAAAGTAGAGCCTCCGTTTAAACCATTTCTGGTGAGTTTAGCCCTGATATACTCACCTTCTTTGACTTGTCAAGGCTGTAAAGTTGTTGTTTTTCTTTCAATGACCAGCAGTAGTGATTTTCACTGAAAGCACTACTAACATCAATACTTTTAGCAACCCAGTCACGTTTTAATTTTTTGAAGTCTTAAGAAGAAAACCAACTTGTTATGCAGTGGCTGACCTCTATAATAATGTTAAGAGTCAACCAGCAGCTCTTTTAAAACTTCTTCTATTTTCAAGCATATCTACTGCTGACAAAACACTTTTTTTTGTCCATTAACTCATAACTTGGGACATTGTAGCTTCTATAGCAGCTGTCTTCTGCTTTTATATCAATTCTGCCTGAAGAAAGATAATCCGTTTCCTTGCCATGCTTCACTCTTTAGATCGATTTAGGAAAACTTTTAGTTTAATTGGAGATAAGTTTTTAAAGTAATGTTTGAATTTTACAGTAAACTTTTCTTTGCTATGTCTTCTAAAGGTATCTTGTGCTATGATGCAAGTAAATGGAGCTTATATTTTAGATGGTGCGACTCTGCCCCCTGCTGACATAATGTAGTACCTGCAGTTAAAGTATGAGCTCAGTAATTTTAGGCATATTATCAAAAAACTTGCTTAATAACACTCTTTTCTGCAGCTTTCAAGACATTAGTGATGTTGATATAAATGTCCAACTTATTCATTTAAAAATTTCAATATGATGTCATTACAGACCATGAGGTGCTCTGCAGTAGGACACTTTGTGTTGGTGTCAGGGACACCTGCACATGTATCTCCTGATGTGTTTTTACATTATTGTCCATTCTTCACCCGCTTCTTTCTTTTCATGTCACGGGGGGTCACTGGTGCCCTTATCCAGCTATCACAGTGTGAGAGGCGGGGGACACCCTGGACAGGTCTCCAGTCCATCACAGGGACACAAAGAGACAAACAACCATTCACTCTCTCTCACCTAGGGACAATTTAGAGTTACCAATCAGACTAACATGCATGTTTTTGGTGTGTGGGAGGAAACTGGAGTACCTGGAGAGAACATGCAAACTCCTCCCAGAAAGGCCCCCAGCCGGGATTCGGTCTGGGGCGGCAGCTCTACCAACTGCGCCACCGTGCCATTTTATTT